ACCGGATGAGTCCACTTAATCCCTACCGGCGTCCCAGATAGGTCCACTTATACCTCACCGGCGAACCGGATGAGTCCACTTGCATACTTAAATTATTTTTAAATCTCTTTAAACATTCGAAAGCAGCAATATCATGTACTCAACATATCACTGAAATCATTAATATGAATTTCACTTAAACCATTAATAACAGTCACTCTCTATAACATTTCAAAAATAACCAATCAACTATTTTGGGCTCATATTTAGAAAGGTAGCAGTTTGTAAAGGCATTCTAGCATAATTGCCAATTTAATATGTATAGAAAAACTCTTATAGAAATTCAAGAATACGGAATTATCACAATTTATGGGATATCAATCCACAAATAAATATTTCACAACCATACTATAATCAATTGCAAAAATGTCAATTTTTAAATAATAAGGCAGTCATGTGCACATGAATTTTACAATGTCTAAATATTCAAAACAGTAAAAAGAAATATCACAATTTTACTAAAAGCAGAAATATCACATTTATTTCTAACAATAGACAAGAAAAATAAATAAATTTATTTTTCTAATTTACAGCATTCAAAATTTCTAACATATATAAAATATCACAATTTTTATTAAAAAGATTATTTTTCAAGATAATGAGGTCACGTGCGCATAAAATTTATCGCGCCTAAAATTAATGATAATAAGCAGAAATAATTATTTCATTTTATTTTTAAAAAGAATGGATTATTTTTCGAGACAATGAGGTCACTTACACACAAAACTTATAAAATAAAGATCCTAGACGGAAATATCACTATTTATTAAAAACAGACTATTTTTCAGGAAGACGATGTCACTTACCTAAAATATTTGAGAAGGAGTTTCCGATAAGAATTCGGCTAGAGAGAGAGAGATAAGAGGCCTTAGACCAGTACACAAGAAAAGTATTGTATTGTGCACATGTACCCCTTTAATGAAGAAAGCAAAGGTTATTTGAAAAAAAAAACGAACAAGAGTTGGTTTCTCGTACTCGGAAAGAAGCTGCAGAAACCATAATAGGGGCTAGGGTTTTAAATGTTTAGAGAGAGAGAAAGTCCTCGTACACAGAAAGAAGTTACAGAAACCATAATAGGGGCTAGGGTTTTAAATGTTTAGAGAGAGAGGAGGACGAATAAAAAGAAAACACCCTAATGCAAGGTGTTGATTAAAGGAGTGTTGTTGTAAAACTTTAAGGTGGTGGACCTAAAGTCTACTCAAGTAAAATTGAACCCTCAAATATATTAACAATAATATCTTTTATTTATTGTTAATATAAAAGCAACAATATCCTAACGGTATATTAGTATTATTATTATTATTATCATTACTAATATGTACTTATTATTTTATTTTATTTATTTTATTTATTTATTATTATTATTATTTAATTTTTTTTTTGTATTTATTTCTGTTAACAACATTAATATTATTATTATTATTATATATATATTTTTGAAAGTTTAGGATTGTTACAGAAGAGGTGTGAGTTAGTTCAAGCGAAAGGCTGAAAAAGGGCAAGGGGTAGACCCAAAAGGACATGGTTGGAAGTGGTGAGAAACATTGATTCAAAAAGTGGTTTGCCTAGCGCTTAGGCGGCTACCTAGGCGGGATGGGGGGCCTGGGCGAACCAACTAGGACCTCCCGCCTAGGCGGGCACCGAGGGTACCTGGGTGGGAGCCCATGGGATTGCACCTGACTAGGTGAAAAAAATGGCCATCAGGTGGGGTATTGTTTGTTTTTTATTTGTTTGAATTATAAAAAGTTCATGAATATGCACATTTTGTACAACATATGTACCTAAAACAAGGTTACTTGGGCACCATTTCTCCCATTTGAACCTAGGCCGATGAGGTTCTAGGCGGCCGCCTAGACGCCCATTTAGGCATTGAGCGGCTTAGACCCCCTGACCGCTTTCGTGCTGCCTGACATTTTTTGGAACAATGGTGAGAAAAAATATGGGGACTTACGGCTTCACTGAGGGTATAGCTCTTAATAGAGCAGAATGGCGGACCGGGATTCATATAACCGACCCCAATTATTTGGGAAAAGTCTTTGATAGTAATGATGATGATGATGCTTGAGTTTGTTTGTCTGTGTGAATGGAAGGAGTCAAATCGGAATATTCCTACTCACTTTCTATTATTCCTCAAACCATCAATGCATTTAAAAATCCTATACTGTTGTTGCTATTGTGATAGGCTTGTCACGATGCTGTATGATTTCCAGTCTTCCATTGTGTTTTCTTATAGATCAATATACAGTTTATGTAAACTAGTTCTTGAATTTTGTGAAACTTCTAAACAAACTTCTGCAGAGCTCATGATATTGGTTGCTCTCTTCCTTTTTGTTCTTTTGAATCAGATATCCTGCAAACATAACTCTTTTACGTGGAAATCATGAAAGCCGACAACTCACTCAGGTATATTTATAGACATGGATCAGCTACTTCATCAGCTTAATTTCCACCAGGAAACAATATTTTAATAGTTTCTCATTTTTCTTTAGTATTGATTGCTTGTCTCGCAAATTATAAATAGATAATTTTGTCAATATCTGTTGGGTTTGAATAAAAGTTCAAGGGATATTATGCATGACGAATTATGACCTCTGCCTTTGACCTGTGCTAGTAGCTAATATGTCAATCCAAGTTGCAGGTGTTGCATGATCTCATACTTAAAGAGGGTTGTTTGAACTCTATTTGGTAGGTTATGGCATAGCGACTTACCTTATCACATTGTTTTCCAGTAGTGTGGTCCTTGAGGAAGGAACTAACTGGTAGTGGAAATTTTTTCAGTATCTTAAGGATAGCTGTGTACGTAGAAGTGGAGGTTTGATTGGATTTTGCATGAAAGAGAATTATATTTTAATTATATGAAACTCATTGATGTGATGCCCTCAATGTTTATGCCAATTGCCGGTAAGTTTTACTTTTTTGATAAAATAGATAGATAAATTCTATCTGTCTATCTATCTATCAGACTAAACAAAGAAAAAAAAAGATAAAGAGCGATGTGTATATATATATATATATATATATATTTATTTTTTTTAAGATAAGAGCATTGAGACAAATTTTCTTGTATCTCACTGGTGAGATTATTATAGCAGGCCTTTTCTCAAGATAAGGCTCTGGTCCATGGGGGATCTATCTTATGTCCTCTTAACGAGCTACTTCAGTTAGTGACATATAGGATTTGAGTAGACTATCATGAAATCAAGGGTCGGTTCGTTTCGTGGTGAGAACACTCTTTCCTGCTGGACTACCGCTTTCCCATGTTTGTTTTATGGGAAAGCATAATACATTGGGAAGCATGTTCTGATACTCAAAGGGGCACTCAATGCATTTAGATGGAAAGCGGCTTTGTACCTATTTAGGTATGAAGGTGCTTTCCCATGGAGCAGAAAGCTCTCCCAGGAACAAACTCTCCGGAGAGAGCTTTCTACGGAAACAAACATGCCTTTAGAGATTCGTTTCACAGCTAAAATCTAAAGGGCATGTTTGGATACCACCCCTAACCATGGTTGGGTGCATTGTGGTGATGAGTTTATTTGTACAAAATACAAATCGAAAACCAATGGTTGAAACTGAGGCATGTGTGGATGCCGCTTATAGATAAAATTTCATCTGCAAATAGAGGGTGAAACTACTAACTAAAAATGCAGTCCTACTTTATTTTATTTCATTTGCAAATTGCACTTGTCAAGTGGCTCTTCCCCCCCCCCACCCCCCCCTCCTCTCTCTCTCTCAGCTGCAAGCTTTGCTTTCTACTTTGCACTCTTCATTGGAGTCTTCTATCTTACATGCAGCTCAAATCAGCCTGAGATCCATATCCCTTGCTTTGATTAAAAAAGAAAAGAAAAAAGGGAAGCATTTGGTTTTTGATACAGTATGAATTGATCTATCAGATTTCAAAGTTTCAACATAAAGAGAAAGGGGTTTTATAAAGAGACACGTTTAGAGAGAGAAAGAATGGGATTTGAAAAAGGTTTTAGAGAGGGAGGGGTTTTAAAGAGAGAGGTGAACGCCAGAGAGAGGTGGAGTTTTGGGAGAAATATGAAGAATTTCAATGTGTTTTGAGATTTCAATGAATGTCAGTGTTTACGCTGAAACTTCAGTGAGTTTTAATTGAGGGCCATCCGGCAAAAATGGCAGCCAAACAACTCTCAACCACAAATCGATTATAATGTGGTTTGTGAATATCTAGTATGTGGCAATCTACATTTTAAAAAATATGGATTCATTTTCATTTACAGCTAAACATATCCTACTGATTTTTTTGGCTCACATTCTATGTTCCTGCACTACGGTTTAGGACAGAGTACGCTTCGTTGTTTACTTCATCCACAAATGCTGAGTTTGGTATTACTCATAAATTTCAACTATATTTATTCAGTCATAAGGATAATCAAGTGTCATCCAGTTCGAGATATTTAAACATTCTTTTGAATCATGTGTTCGCCTTCAAACCAACATTCAGAATCAATGATTATTTCATGTGCTTGTGTCTGTATTTTTTGAGTTTGAATTCCTTATATTTGTTATGTTTCTTTGGAAAGAGGAGAAACTAAGCTATCTAGAGAGATCCATTTGTATGCCTAATGCCAAAGGAATTGGAAATGGCAGCTTTATGGGTAATCTGAGTTCTGGACAGCAGTCTTGGATTCTGAACCAGCATCCTTGGTTTTATGAGTGTGAGCATAATGATAAGTTATCGACTGTACTGGGTTTGGTTCATTTATGTTTTGTGTTCTGTTCTGCTGCTTAATTTTGCTAAGAGGGAAAATTTGTGAATTTGCATGTATGGGAGAGTAATTCATATTATTTGTCCTTCACCTGCGTAGGTCTACGGCTTTTATGATGAGTGCCAGCGGAAGTATGGAAATGCAAATGCATGGCGCTATTGTACTGATGTTTTCGATTATCTTACTCTGTCTGCGATCATTGATGGAACTGTAATATCTCTTCTCTCTCTCTCTCTCTCTCTCTCTCTCTCTCTCTCTTGTCATTGCGAAATCTTGATTGTTGCCTCTCTTGTTTATACCCTGGAGATATTAAACCTGCATGTGCATTTTTTCAATTGCAGGTTCTTTGTGTTCATGGTGGCCTTTCTCCAGATATTCGAACAATAGATCAGGTATTTTACAGCACAATCTGTAAGTTTGTAATGGTGGAGGCATTAGGTAGATTCTTTTTCTGGAAAGACTCTGTTATGCAACATGTTATTGCAGTGGAAGTTTTTGATTTGTACCTTTCTTACTCTTGCCAAATTGTCAGAATTATCTTTTGTGTGTGTGTGTGTGTGCATGTGCTTTTTCCCTTTTTTGGTTCTACTTCAAGATTAGATATTGATACAAAACCTTCATGGTTTGTCTAAAATCATGTTGTTTCAAACTTGTAAGCCAGGTGGTTGTTGAAGAGAATGTCTATACCCAGCTGTTTTGCTACTTGACCTACTGTTTACAAATTATAACTAGATTTGCCAAGTCGATAGAAGCATTCTTATCTTTCTTTAGGAACATATGCCTAATTCTTTAGCAGGTTATGTCGTGGAACTGTTGTTTCTAAGTCATATTTCTCTGTGTCAACAGATTAGAGTCATTGAACGAAATTGTGAAATCCCTCATGAAGGGCCATTTTGCGATCTTATGTGGAGTGACCCTGAGGAGATTGAGACATGGGCAGTAAGTCCACGAGGTGCAGGATGGCTCTTTGGATCGAGGGTTACTTCAGAGGTACTGTAACACAATCTGCACCTTAACCTGATAGATCTAGTGGATTGACTGTAAATTCTCACCAAAAAATCTGAAAGCCTGTTTGTTGATGCAGTTCAATCACATAAACAATCTTGAACTGGTATGTCGGGCACACCAGCTTGTCCAGGAAGGTCTCAAGTACATGTTTCAAGACAAGGGTCTAGTGACGGTTAGTGCTCTCTCTCTCGCTCTCTCTCTCTCTCTCTCTCTCTATATGATGGTTAAGGATTCTGGCCATATGAATTTATGTAAAAAATTAATTTTTTCTGCTTCCATTGTTTTGAAAATCATTATTGAACTTGAACAAATTCAAAACTACTAGCAAAATGGCTCTCTGGTGGCAAGTGTTCCAAACCTCTTATGTTTGTCCTTGGGGAATCCAAGTTTGCTAATGCGCCTGGCACCACATCAGTTTCCTTTGTTGCTTCACTGATTGTTTTTTAATTTTTGAAATTGAACTGTAGCGATTAATTAAATTTTGTTCTTTGGGTTTCAGGTGTGGTCCGCACCTAATTATTGTTATCGTTGTGGAAACGTGGCTTCAATTTTGAGCTTTAATGAAAACATGGTATGGATCTTTCGTCAATTTGTCTCGATTTAGTTATTTTCCAAAAAAAAAAGTTGTCTTGGTTTATTTATTTGTTATCATGAGCTATGATATTTATTCATGCTTACACACATTTACCGTCATATCAAGATACTTTTGGAAGTGTTCCTGGTTTGTTTGTTGAAGATAAAAAGCCTAGGTCTTTCCTATGAAACATAGATACGTTTTGGGGTCTGACCATGTGTCGACACTTAGTAGCAACCGATACGCATGTTGACACTTTTGGACACACATATGACGCCTATAATAAATGTCCACTACCGTGTCCCTTTTTTAGACATGTTTCTTTTTTCAAAAGTGATGCTTCTATTTTTTAGAAACTTCGTTCTTTATTAAAGAGTATTTTATTTAAAAGTAACAAGTACTTTAGAATAAAATAAGTAGGTTATTATAAAAATAAAAAATATTTTTATTTGTTAAATTATGCTTTCCATAAGTCATTATTACTATAAATAAAAAAAATGACTACCATGGAATTCTAAGGTTTCTCCCTCCCTAACTAGTTTCTCCCTTTGCAAGCCATGGACCACTGGTTTCTCCCAAGCCTTGTGGACCATCTTGCTCACAAGGAGGCAAGGTGATTACAAATCAAGTCTATGCAGTTACTAGGAAAGAGGCATCAACAAAGACAACATAGATGGAACTACAGAAATTGACATTTGAGAGCATGGTGTCTGATGAACCAATCTTAGAAAAGGATAGATCTTTGAGGGGGTGCGAGTGCGATGACCATGTGATTTTGATGAATTTATTAGGACTCTTTTGAATAGCCACACAATAAGGGTGCTACGTTTTGAATTAATAATTAGCTATTACTTTGTAGCTTTTTTCCGTATTGTTACAATGCAATCTTTGATTGGTCTATAAGAAATTATGATGAATAAAATTCAAATTCGCAAAGTAACGTTTTTTGGACTATTAATTTAATTATTTTTATTTTTTGGGTGCTTTCTTATTGTTGTATGACATGAATTACTGTTCATGCAACTGCAGATGTGAACTACACAGATTTTATATAGATATATAGACATGCACATTTATGTAGATACTTGTATATTGTACAGACAATCGTGTCCAGATGTCGACATTTCTGACACATGTATCCATGTCATAAATAGACACACTTGTTTGTGTCTATGTAACATAGTGTCTTTCTGATTATTTGTGACAATTTATGGTATTTTAATTCCTCAAAATGTTGGGTTGCATAATTTTCTTTGATTCATTTCTTAAGACTTTGATGTTGATCTCACAAAAAAATTAATCTGGCTATTTTTCTACTGTTTTTGTAGTATCCAAGATTTCTCATAACAAAAAACAATTGTGTTATCTGTTTTGTAAGTCATTCATATACTATTATTTGGGCATCATTTTGCTTCTGTTGATCCCTGCCCTCCACTTTCTCATGGACAGGAGAGAGAGGTAAAGTTCTTCACAGAGACAGAGGAGAACAATGCAATGAAAGGACCAAGAACAGGAGTTCCTTATTTCCTATAAGGTGAATTTATCCCTCATTTTCTCCCTTTTTCTCCTTTCCTCCCCCTCATTTTTGTGTGTTTCCACCCCGTGTAAATTAGTTAAACTGAGGTGATTTGTCTCTTGGAAAGCATGTAATAAGAGCTTTAAGAAATCCTGGAGACTTTTCTAGCAAGTCTATTTTTTCCAGTTGAAGGCCCACCTGTCTTCTCTGGTAACGCCCTTCTTTATCCCCCTTCTCTTGGAATCTGGGTGCTGTATATTAATTTAATCATTCTCCTAATTATTGTTTTTTATTTGGCATCTTTGTATCTTGGTTACCTAATTGAATAGGTAAACAATGTGTCATTGTATGGTTATTGGCTAGTTTGTCTGGACGGAATAGGTACATATTACGGCTAGTCTTCCTTTTCCAGTCACTAGGGTTTAGGCTTTAGGGTCTAGAATGTTTACAGGTTAATACCTTATTCTGATTGGTTGATTCGTGGCCTGAATTCAGAGAATGATTATATTGTGGAAATTGGGTTTTATTTTGGTTGGTTTAGGGCTTGATTCTTTTTATGCTTGTTTTTTATATACATTGAGAAAGGAAAGGAAAGGAGGATTGCTATTTGCAGTGAGTATGTACTCTATGCTACTCTTTTTCAAAGAAAAAAATTATTATATGCTAGCACTTGGGTTTCAAATAGTTTGCAAGCACTTCCACCGTCAAATGTCTAGAGAGCCAGTTGGGGTTTGGTGTTCCTGTGATCAAATGGCTGGGGTTGGGTAGGTAATATCAAATTGTTTGAGACCCTAGTACCGATAGTATAGAAATACATACACCTGTACTTCTGCTATTCTATGTTCATATCTTCTATTTCAATCCATGTTTTTGAGGGGGGGACTAACAATTCCCAGTAATATAATGAGGAGCTTCGGATCCTCATGTATAACGTACATGTGTTTTGGGATCGACAACCATTTGATGTTGATACATTGAGTTGAAAGTTGATGCTAGATTGTGAACTGTTGTTGATTTGCTGTCAGCTGTTTGAGCTGTTTGATCTTTCTGTTGGTCCTCAAACATGCAAATTATGTGAGTAGGAATAATAGAAAGGTGTCCCGAGATATAATATGTCAAGTATGCTTTAGAAGGGGAGGGTAAATTGAAAGTTTGCAGTATGGTCTGCGGTATTGTATGGGGATACCCACCTGTTGCTGTAATGAACGGTGGAGATAAACTATGATTAAGTCATCTGAGAACCATAATGAGCCAAATCTGAAAGCTATGGTATATGATATAGTTTTGCTTTGTCTTCAGGCCTTTTGGGCTTTTTGTCCTATAATCTTAGGTCTCGATCTGAATCATATTATGAAATATCAACCTAATTTTGAATGGATATAATCTAAAAATTAAACCAATGCATAAGTTTTACAAGTATATGCTGTGCGAATGTGGGCCAGAGTTTATAGTCTTGCAGTTATTTCAACATTTCAAGAGAGCATTGAATGTCGACAATCTGTTGCTATGAACCTTAGAATATGTGAAAATTGTTTGAAGATGCATGCTCTCTTGTACGCAAGTCTCTTGTATGCAAGTAGCTGAGGTGGTCTTGTTGAGAATAGTAATGATTTGTGACAGGTTTTTCAGGATCTAACTGCCCATAGTGGGAGGGAGGTTCAGCCATGGAAAGAGAGGTTTGATCCAGTCAAAATTGGTCTAACACTATTAGATGTAATGGGTCGAGAAATGTGGTGTCAATACTTAATCTTTTTGATAGTTTAAAAAATTATTTTCATTTTTATTTATAACATTTAAGGCTTAAAAATTAGTGTAAATCGAGACATATATAAAAACTTGAAAATCTTGAAAATTGACGGGCCAAAAATGCATTATAAAATACACTATTTTCAAATCTTGAAATCCATTTTTTTTTATTGTGTTCATGCATATTGATTTCAAGATGATCAATTTGAAGATATTTGGCGATCAAAACAACCTCTTCTAGTGATAGTTTTGAGGCAGGCTCTAATTTGATTGTTTAGAGCTTCGGCTCTATATAAACTTTTTTGTTTAAGATAAGTAAATAAATATTTAACTTAAAAATATGAGATCTCTTATAAAATAGTGTCAAAATTTGACTTGCAAAAATTTGTCAAAATTTGGATGGTTTTTTTTTTTATTTATCAAAACAAGGTTTACTTTGGATTAAATTAATCAAAAGCACTTGTAGGCTGATGAATCAGCCGGTCTGGTCTAGTCTTTATGACTATGGTTTCCAAAAGTGTTACCGTTACTAGTCAAAGCCAAGCCTTTCTGATTAGATGAACAACTAGTCTGGCCCCAAATTAGGTTGGTTCAATGGAAAACTCGATTTTGAGAATAAACCAAGTTTTTAATATAATTTTTAAAAAGTTATGAAAAAATGCCTCTTTAATGATTGAAAGGAATAACAACTAAGAAATTGACACCCGAAACCTTTCAGTCAACAATATTTTTGAAGGGTTAGTATTTTTTTTTTTTAAAAAAAAAAAAATTTATATTTTAAAAGCGATTGTAGACCATTTATCTTTGATACAAAAAAGTCAGAATTGTTAGTGGCCATTGGATGTCGAATTGAAGAGCTTTGGATATGAGATAAATTTTTGAGTTTTTTTTTTTAACTTTGAGTCTAATCAATGACATATTTTGACAAATATCAAAGCTATTTATTGATGAAGAGGATTACCCAAATGGGATTTACGAAATTTGAAATAAAGAGATGGGAGAGAAGCGCCCTTTTTCACAAGGGAATACACTAGACAGTTAGCTTCCTGAAAAGCATGTTGAAAAGAGCCAATTGCCCCTTGATTTTAAGCCATAAGGATTTTAGTTCTCAAGGAATTCTTATATGTTTTTTAGACCGATTTATGGCATTTTGCGAATCTCGATCAATAATAAATGGCCTATTCCTAAAATTGGCTGCCAAAAGTTTAAAACCTTGAAGGATAGTTGTCATTTCAGCATAGTTGGTGATGGCTTCACCAATCGGGCTTGCATAAGATAGAAGAACGAGACCATTGGAATTTTGCATCACTCCCCCGATACTAGTTAAACCAGGATTATCTTGTGAGTTTTCATCAAAATTTAACTTTAGCATATCACACGGAGGAGGAAACCAAACACCTTGGCTTGATTCGAGTAGGGCTTAGGAAGATGAAGTTATGACACTTTCATAATCACTTGGTTTGAAATCCGACGTACAAGAATGAGTGTGACATCCTTGTATTAAAAGTAAATGGTATATTTTTCTATTTTAAATATAGAGCCCCATAATGTTTAAGACCACGTAAGGCTTCATTTGAAAGTTGGCAAATATCAAAGCTATTTATTGATGAAGAGGATTGCCCAAATGGGATTTACGAAATTTGAAATAAAGAGATGGGAGAGAAGCGCCCCTTTCACAAGGGAATACACTAGACAGTTAGCTTCCTTAAAAGCATGCTGAAAAGAGCCAATTGCCCCTATCATCAGGTCAATGATTTTAAGCCATAAGGATTTTAGTTCTCAAGGAATTCTTATATGTTTTTTAGATCGATTTATGGCATTTTGCGAATCTCGGTCAATAATAAATGGCCTATTCCCAAAATTGGCTGCCAAAAGTTTAAAACCTTGAAGGACAGTTGTCATTTCAGCATAGTTGGTGATGGCTTCACCAATCGGGCTTGCATAAGATAGAAGAACGAGACCATTGGAATTTTGCATCACTCCCCCAATACCGGTTAAACCAGGATTATCTTGTGAGTTTTCATCAAAATTTAACTTTAGCATATCACACGGAGGAGGAAACCAAACACCTTGGCCTGATTCGAGTAGGGCTTAGGAAGATGAAGTTATGACACTTTCATAATCACTTGGTTTGAAATCCGACGTACAAGAGTGAGTGTGACATCCTTGTATTAAAAATAAATGGTATATTTTTCTATTTTAAACATAGAGCCCCATAATGTTTAAGACCACGTAAGGCTTCATTTGAAAGTGGAGGATGTTAATTCATGTAGGTACTTGGGACGGATCTATTTTTTAAGAGAAATGTACGCTTGTATTTAATGTTTATAATGTTCCCTTTTGATCTTTTCTTTTTACTAAATGTATGACTTTAGATGTTGCTGTTTTAAAGTCAAAAGTAGAAGATTCAAGGCCAGAGGAGATTTCGTGTTAGACCTTAAGGTTTCAAGGGGATATTTTGGGAGAAATAAAATATAATATAACAACGAGGTCGAACGTAAAATGGAAAATCTTTGGAGGAATGGTGTAATGACTGATATCATGTGGCTAGCATAAATTTCTCTTTATTTAAATAGAATGCAAAACATTTACTGTAATTTTGTATGCCGACGCGAACGTGAAAAAAGACTAGCTAAATACCAAACGATCCAACACTGACCACTGATACAAAAGTGAGCTGATGACAAAAACGGATTCAGACCCTTATGAAACATAATCCAAACAGGCGAATGATTCCATACAATGGTTGTATAATAGTATAATGCAATCACACATTTAGAAAATCATGTTTGTGATATTTGCATGACTCCAAATTTTGCTCACACATTATTTTTCATCATCATAATCAATCTTACGAAAAAAATATATTCAATCTGTACTCTATATATGGTCAAAATTCGTACCCTCCAATAATGAATCACAACCGTTCATTTGGTGAATTTCAAGATCTAGGTCTTGAAAAATTCAAAATCACTTTTTTATTTTTATCATTGTTAATCTAATGATGATAATGCTATATAAAAATTTTAGGAATAAAAAAATCCTTATGAGGCCTATATCTAACCATCTCATAAAAATGGACGGCTTATATTAATTGGGCGGCTAGAAAAACATTTTCTATGAAATTTTTTCAAAATTTTCTTTTTTTGTGATTGTTCTTTAGAGTTAAAAAAATGTACATTTAAAAATTTGTGTCGAACAAATGTCTCTAACATAATTTTTTAAGATGATTACATTATACCACTATACAACCATTGCATGAAATCATTCCCCAATAAAACAAGGAAAATGTTATATAAGGTTGCAACCTTACAATTTAAAATTACACATGCATCTAAACAATCCATTGGAAAATATTGTTTTAATGTTGAAAAACCCTTTAATTGATCATCTCAACATTGATAGTAATGAATATGATAAAAAAAAAAGAAAAGATTTTGAGTCCAAGAAATAATGTATCTTGCAACACATTATCTAGACCATCCATTTCAAGATTTTCATATGTTTATATATCTACTTGATTTTAGTCATTTTTAGAGTTTAAAATTTTATAATTAGATATGAAAATAGATTTTCAGATAATCTTAAGAATGTTTTACCCCAAAATTGCATATTATGATAAAATTTCGAAGTGGATTGTTTAAGGTTGCAACCTTATACAAACCACACTCATAAAACAATATTATCAACTTCCCTTCATTTCAACTTCGACTTCCAGTAGAGGTCTTCACGGTTTACATCTACCCATAGGAAGGAATTTGTGCATCACTTGCTTCTCCGAAAACATCTTACATCCACCTAATTTAAAGTTAAATACGTAGTACAAGGGGCTTTCCATTTATTGGACCCACATTTACATGATATTGTCGTTTGGTTGGGGTTTCTTAGATCGGTTAAATCATTAAAATGTTGTTGAGAGTTTCTAATCTAAGTTATTTAAATAATACTTTAATATGGTTTAGATCGACCGTCATATAAGAGAGTTTGACTATCCAATATAGGCTTGTGGTTATCGACATCTGCATAAAGATATGAAAGAGAATGAGTGAAATTAATAGGTGCCTAAGAATTAGTTGGTGAAATTTTAAAAATAAAAAAATTATTTATTTAAGGATAAATTAGTTAAAAAAAAAATAGATCTTTGAAGATGAGATGACTGGCTGTATTAAGAAAGTGGCAAAAGAAATTTTATGAGAATCTAAGGAAAATAAATTCCAATAAAGAGACGCGGTGGTGGAGTGATGAGGTTCAGAAGGCCATTAGCGAAAAATGATCATGTCATAAAACTTGGCTATATAATGAAAAAATTCAAAACTGAAAAGAACATAAAAATGCTACAAAAAACTCTAAATACATAGTAAGTAAAGAAAAACTTAAGGCATATGATAATCTATAGAGCAAACTTAAAATAAGAAAAGATGTTTTCAAATTAGAAAAATGAGAGAGAAAATGTGTAGGGATCTAGACCGTATGAAATGTATTACGAGTGAAGAAGATATCAGTGAAAGGTGGAAAGTTTATTTCGAAAATTATTAAATGACAAATACAATGAGAACATAGCGGTAGAAGCAATCGTTGGCATAGAAAAGGGCGGAGTTCATAGATACATTCATAGGATTAATATATCGGAAGTGAAAGAAGCTTTGAAAATGATGAAGATAGGAAAAACCTTAGGACTACATGGTATTCCGATAGAGGTTTGGAAGTACATAGGGGAGATTGATATTGGCTGGCTGACCAAGTTGATCAAGAACACTTATGATAAAGTATCTCGATATTTCATTTGGTGGGTGTTGAAAAAAAAAGGTATTTCAAAGCACTACATCGACTTGGTGAGATATATATGAAAGAGAGTTAACTAGTCTACGAACAACTACTAGAGAGACGAGTGGGTTTTCAATTATTACAGAGCTACATCAGGGATCAACACTGGGCCCATACCTTTTTCTCTTGGTTATGGATGACTTAATTAGGCACCTACAAGATGAGCCACTATGGTGCATGTTGTTCACATATGACATAGTTTTGATTGATGAAATTTGAAACGACATCAATACAAAGTTAGAACTTTGGATGGATGCTCTAGAATTTAAAAGTTTTAAAATTAACTAGACTAAGATAGAGTAAATGGAATGCAAGTTTAGTAATAATAGGAGTAGATACAAGGAAGTAGTTACGATTAACGGCCAGGAAATATAAAAAAGAGCGTACTTTCGATATCTTGGGTCGATAATCCAAGAAAATGAAGAGATTGAACAAGATGTCGAACATAAAATTAGAATGGGTGGGCAAAGTGGAGATGTGCAACCGGAATTTTACGTGATCGCCGCATCTCAATGAAGCTGAAGATCAAGTTCCATAGGACAACTGTGAGACCAACTTTTATTTATGGGGTGGAATGCTAGGGGCAGAATGTAGAAATATGTACGAGTTAGTTCAAGTGGAAGGCTAAAAAAAGACAAAAGGTAGACCCAAAAAGACATAGTTGGAAGTATGAGAAAAAATATGGGGACTTATGACCTCACTGAGGATATACCCTTTAATATAACATAACCACAGATTAAGATTCATTTAGCCAACCTTAATTAGTTGGAAAAAGGATTTGATGTTGATGATGATTTTAATATATTTTTATGAAAAAACAAATTAATATAAGATGTCAATTTTATATTATTCGTATTAAAATAGTACATCTTCTAACAAATGATTTGAACCATAATTTACAAGATTTTGAAGTGTGCATAGATCTAGTATATCTAGATCATTTTTAAAATTTTAAATTTTATAAATAAAGATGAGAATAGATTTTCAAGCCATTATAAAATCTCTTACTATGAAATTATATCTCCATACAAAAATCAAAAGGTGCTTCCTACTTCTGGTATAATGAATGTACCTTATACAAACCTCACCTTTTTAAGAAAAGGTGAGGTTTATTTAATATTACACTCATATCTAAAATTTGCTTAGAGAGGTTACGAGATTAGAAGCGTTGATGGCGTAAGAAGATATTTTCATCCCACGTTATCTCAATCTAATTTTTTTAAAAAAATAGTGTAGATTGAACAGATCAATAAAAACTTGTAAAATCTTAAAGATAGTACATATTGGTCGAAATAACTTGTTACAATATGCATTGTTTTATACTTGAATTTTTTTTTTATTTGTGACCATTGATCTTGAGGTTGAAATGATCAATTGGAGTGCTTACCAACACCATCACACCCTCTTTTATAGGATTTTTGAGGTGCACCTTAAGGGGGAAAAAAAAAAAAACTTGGAATTTTTAGTTTGAGATTGTTGACAAAGAGATTATTTACCTTTTGTACAAATAGGTCACAACTATTCCTATTTATTAGATGTCAAATTGGATGGCTTGAGATGAATCACAAAGTTCGAGAATTTTTATTTTGAAAGTTTTGTTTCTAATCAATAACACTTTTAACAACTATCCAAATTAAATCTTAAAATCCATCTCAAAATTGGATGTCAAATTGGATGGTTTGAGATAAATCACAAAGTTTGCCATTTTTTATTTTGAAACTTTTGTTTCTAATCAAAGACTCTTAACAACTACCCAAATTAAATCTTAAAATCCATTTCAAAAATAAATTTATTAAGAGGCCCGTATTTTTACATAGGGCTTGGTCGCATAGGAACGAGGTCCTTTTGAAATATAAGGGGCAAGGAAGGATCGTGAGTTCCTCACGTCCTTATATAAATAGTAAAGCAAAAATATATATAGAATCGAGGCTCTAAACAATCAATTTAGAGCCTACCTAAAAAATTTCATTAGAAGAGGTTGTTTAGATGCTCAAATATCCTCAAATTAACCATCTCAACATCAAAATGCATAGAATGAGAAAAAAAAAATAGATTTCAAGTTTTGAAAATAGTGTATTTTATAATATATTTTGAACCATCAATTTTCAAGATTTTCAAATTTTTATAGATCTATCGATCAACACTATTTTTAAAGCTTTAAACTTTATAAATAAATATGAAAATATATTTTAAAGTTATGACAAAGATCTCCGCTATTGAAATAACATATCTGGATACTATTTCAAGGTAGGATTTAATATGATTGTTTTGAGCCTAGGCTCTATACAAACCGTACCCAAAAGTAAATGGCCGGGAGAAAATCCAACAAACCCCCGTAAAGTCAGTACTCTGCAGTGTGGAGCACTAGGGCCCGCAGACTACCGCGATGAAGTCGATGGCATCCAATAAAAGCGCCACCAAAGCCAAAGCCTCCAAGTTGATTTGTCAAAGCCCAAGCCTCTCTAAATTGCTCCTCTCTCAATCTCTCTTGTGTGTCATGGCGGTGGCGGTGGCGGAGGCGGAGGCGGAGGCGGAGGCGGAGGCGGAGGCGGAGGCGGAGGCGGAGGCGGAGGCGGAGGCGGTGGCGGAGGCCGATGAAGGGGAAGAAAGAGAAAGATTGGGTTCGTACAAGGGTGAAGTTAGGGTGGTAAAAGAGGCAGCAGAAGAGATACTGCTCCTCTGGGCCCTGCAACAACCCACCTCGCATACACAAAATTCATTTGTCAGACACACCTCTCTCCAACTCAACCTCCAAGCATGCGGCCGCAATCTCACCATTTTCCAGTCCCCTTCCTCCATGGTAACACACTCCACTCCTCCCTCTCTATCTATCTGGCGAACTCCCATTCTCCAGTCGTCTCGTTCCATTAACAAGTCACCTCTGCACATACGATCACCATTACACTCTTTCTTTTTTTTCTCTCAAAAAACTAAGTAAAATAAAATTATTTTTTGTTTATTTTAATTGAGCACCCTAACCACTTCTAGTTGGATCTTGGAAGAGGATTTTGTTAACTGAAGAGTTTGGTTAAGCAAAGAATGTACGGTGCTTTTCTTCCAGAGCACACCAGGAGTGACAGGAGCTGTGACGTGGGACAGTGGAGTTGTTTTAGGGAAATTCTTGGAGCATGCTGTGGATTCTGGCCTTCTTGTGCTCCAGGGAGCAAAAGCTGTTGAACTCGGTTCAGGATGCGGTTTAATCGGGTCATCTCTCTCTCTCTCTCTCTCTCTATATATATATATATATATATATAAAAGCAAAAATGAACATTTCTCTTAAAAAAAATCGACCGTCATGGACATAATATGTACTGTTACGGACATAGCAAACCGGTGGACATTGGAAGTGTAGTTACATTTATTACTGCATAAAATCATTATATATATATATATATATATAAAATGGTAATAACACTAAGAGACCCTCTCATAGTTTTATGTGAGTAAAACCCTCTCATTTTGATGTGAGTAAGACGTCAAAGGATCATCATTAAATTTTAATATATATATATATATATATAAATTTTGACATATATAATTATATATATATATAATGACCGTATTGAACATTTGCACCACATAAAAATTATGTAACATTAAGACAAAAAAACACAGGTTTCGAATTTCAGTTGCTTAAGAATGGGCTCAAGGCTACGTGGTCCAAGGGAAAAAAAAAGAAAGACAGATCCTAGATGATTCTTCACTCGAAACTTCATAAAATGCAGATGCACCATACTAATAAATTTAGAAGATCGGATTTTTCGATTTCCAGTCTAATGGCCTGAATCCCGACCAATTCAGCTGAAATATTAATTTAACAAAACAACTTTTGATTAAATTTATGGTCTTATGAATGGCACATGATGTTCCAACCTGATCAAATGGACTCAAGGCAAGGAATTAGACAGCCCACCTGATCAAATGGACTCAAGGCACTGTATTCGAAACCCGAAAGTCCAAAGAAAAAAATGAAAATCCTAACCTCAAGTTCCATCATATTTTAAGAAGATAAAACCCCAACCTGGTCTTTTCCTTGATCCTTTCATTACTGAACTCTACCTGAATGAAGTATTGCCTCGGTTCCAAAACTGTTTTCAGTTGTATCGCAGCTCTTCTCGGTGCTCAAGTTATAATGACAGATTTGCCTGATCGGCTGAGACTGCTCAAGAAAAACATTCAAACCAACCTCCTTGACATTGGAGGTATACGGGGTTCTGCAACTGTGAGCAAGCTCACATGGGGTGATGACTTGGATCGTGACTTCACCGACCTTTTGCCCAATTATGGTGAGCAGGCCTTCTTGCTAGTTTTCAAGAACACTTTTCTCTTTCTCTCTCTCTCTCACGCCTCTTCTTCTACTTGTGTTTGGTAGATGGAGTAATCATCCTTCTTTCCAACTTCTTCTGGTTTTTGACTAACTATTTGTGTTAAGAGTTAAAAACACTCCATTTGGTGTTTCTATTTTCTGTTTATGAGAAACAGCTACAAATATGAAAGGTGGGAGAATCTTGAGTCTACACTAAACTATTCAGACTCTCTCTTTTCTCTCTCTCTCATATTTTGGACCCGTTTGTTCCGGTGAAAAAGAACATATAACTTAAAACATACAAAATATGCATTTAGGAAACCAAAAAAAAAATCTAAATCCAAATAGCAAGTCTACGGCATATCAAATTTCTTTTCCCCTAAATTCAACAGGAGACGAGATATCAACTGCCCAAAGCAAACCTTTTACTGATTTTTTGTGGTTTATCTTTCTATTTATGATTTGATTGTAAAGATTGTGAGTGGTTTTTATTCTTAGTGCTCGCCTCAGACGTAGTCTACAATGAAGAGGCAGTCACTGAATTATTGATCACTTTAAAGCATCTTTCTGGGAGCCATACAACTACTTTCATGGCAGGAGAGCTACGAAATGGTATACAATTTGGCAAACTTGAAATCGTCTACTAATCTGCTCAGATTTTTTTTTTTTCTGATAAATCGTCTGCTTAGATTTCTCTCTTGAATGAGCATTTGAAGCTAACAACCTTGTTTACTTTACAGATGCTGTGCTCGAATACTTCTTGGAAGCTGCAATGGAAGAATTCATAGTTGGACACGTGGATCAAGCATTATGGCATCCAGAGTTTTGCAGTAACAGAGTGGCAATCTTTGTTTTAGTCAAGAAATCAAAAGTCGGAGTTGAAAAGTATTAGATGAGATAATTCCAACCAGTTGTTAAGTTTAGATTTAGGCAGTTAATCCCTGTTTAAACCTGCCCCCATTTTGATATCTCCTACAAAGGAGATGGCAGAGATGGCAACTTGTTATTTACAAATACTTGTTTTGGAGAAAATTATTGAGATCTTTAGACTCAGTTGCGACCAATCGATTTTCCACCGATGTACATTGGTCCTCTTATAGAATTTGTTCTATGCAAGAAAACACAGTTTCAAAGATAAGCATTGGTATGTCTACTGATCTAACATACTGTCCACTAAACTAACATAACTGTGAGTTGTATAAGAAAACATGAGCATAGGGTGCCCATGGAATAGGTCCAAAGCAATGCTTTCATACATACACACCTACATACGATACATACAGTACATACATATACACTCACATAATTGATTCTGTATAGCAAAAATTGAATTTATATATAAGAACCAACGAAAGGAATGGTATCCGTATAAATAATGTATACACACATAGCATACAAGCCCCACAATAATGTTTCTTCCATTGACCAAACATAGAATAGACATGGTTTCAGATGAAATTCAAAAGGCAACTCATAAAACAATGGAAATCGTGGATCTTTTCATGTACAATTCTGGTATATCATCAGATCTTCAAATTTACTCTGCTTATTTTCCCATGGTCCATTATAAGAGTGCACTGCTAAGTGCTACCAATTATATTTTCTCAAAGAAGCCATTCACAGAGCAATAAAACTGGTAAAAGCAAATGTCTCATATGAAACAAACGAGAAAATTACTAACAAAAAGAAAAAAGGAGTTAATGTGAGAAGAAATGGAAATTGAAAAAGAAAATGTTGGCGCATGCTACATATATAAATACACATATTTCTATACATGAACTGAAATTTCAGGTAGGTAAAAGACGAGATCTCTTAGATTATTACAAATATGCTGATAGTTGTTCCCCCATGTTTCATTGATTGGTGCCGAATTTTAAGGAATACAAATTCCAAAGGCCACTAATAAAGCCCACCATTTGGAATGTATATGACATTCTGAATATTTGATCATTCAAACGTCCTATAACCCATTATATAGAGGCGTCACACTTTACGATACAGTCAATTGGTTCTCCAAATTTAACTGAGGATTTCTTGACAACTTGTGAGCATTTTTGGCGACCAAATCTTTTGCAGGAGCATGTTCCCAAAACAGCTCCACTTGCTATCTTCACCAGCAAAAGCATCACCAATGATCTGTAGATTTTACCAGTAATGATAAGCCCTTTCATGCCCATGTTGTTGAATAATGTCGAGGCCACGATAGGTTAGCCTGCATCTAAGTATATTCATGGGTCATATTGGCATGAGTACAAGGTGGACCGTTTGCATCTGAATAAGTGCCATTTGTGAGAAATCTACCATCGCTTTCTTCCTAATTCTTTGGATGATTGCTCTACAAACAGAACTATCAGCACCAAGTACTCTTTTAGCAAACTCCAAAGGAAGCCTAAGGATTGTCTCTTCATTTCTCTGGTTGCAATAAGCATCAATAAGTCATGCATAAGTACTGAAACTTGGGCAAAAGACATTCCTACTGTTCAAATAAACGAGAAGATGCAGTGGGGGAGATTCTTGTGCAAAGGAAAAGAAAATGCTTTGGACACCACATATGGGCATAGTTTCGTCATATGAAAGATGCCTGCAACCTTCATAACGTGTATTAGAACGATTCTATTACTCCCCACACTGATATTAATACGAGTAGAGGGGATTTTCCTCGTAAGTTCCAAGAACTTGAGCTATTTCTGGGATCATTAGTTAACTAGATCTCCTCTTCCAATGCAATATACGATACTTAAGCCTTGAGTTAAACACCCACATCTGTTGTAAATTCTTGCATAGCTCTCAACTAAAATGATGCAGTGGAGATACAAACATCTGTTTTCAAGAGAAAATTATAGCAAGAGGTAAGTCATGGAAAAAATATAGGATGTACCATCCACTATATAGAGGTCCGTTGACCTGAGGCGTATTCAATATGTGCATTTAAAAAATCGTGTTCGGTCAACTTGAAAAGCAGGAAAAGAGAGACAGAGAACAGCAGGCAGAGGGGGTAAAGTAAAGAAGCCACCAGAAAAGGCACAGGAGTCCAGAACTAGGAAGCAGCGAGTATAGTCTTCTGCCAGAGTCAAAATTAGAGGTAGTAGAAAACGGATCATCAAATCAGTATGGGCTAAATTGAATCCATTATTTTAATGAACAAAGGAATGCTAGGGCATTTTTCAACTTTTTGATTTCAGAATTTAAAAGAAAGTACAATGAGTGAATCACTAAAAAAGAAAATAAGAAAATGCCTTAGATAAGATGAAAACGGGGCATGACCCATACACCAGAACATATTGACTCATGAACTTCAGTATTTTTCCACCCAAAACAGTTTTGTGAAGAATTGAATGAGTTCTAAATAACCCCATGGACAAAAAAAAGTACTTGAAGGGAAGAAAGACCGCAATTCTTTTATGTTATTCATGAAAGTATACAGAATTAATTAATGACAGAAAAACATGTACCTTTTTTTTGGGTAGGTGAAAAACATGTACCTTAAACTACATTCATTACATGACTCCACATATTCAAGTTAAAATGCAAATTATCAACCAAACATAAAGTAAAGCAAGAAAGCAATGTGTGACTACTTTTATTTTTCAAATATGGAACATTACAGTGAGTACCAACTAATAATAAGCAGGAAATGACATCGTCATCATCATTCGAGCCTCATCCCAATTGTTTGGGGTTGGCTACATCAAGGGCCAAATCCTTAGTTAGACCATAAGTACTATATCTCTTCTTATTCATTCCATCCATGTCCTTGTGGGCCCTCCCCTTGCCCTTTTTAGAGCCCTTCCACTTGAACCAAATCGCCCTTCCTAACTAGTTCTGCATTAGTTCTATACTACACATGGCCAGCCCACCTAAAGCTACTCTCCCTCATCTCTCATTTCCTTAAAAAACTTTCATGCCTCTCATTCATTATCATCATCATCATTCATTATCTCATTCATTATCATCATCATCATTCAAGCCTTATCCCAATGATTTGGGATTGACTACATGAATCTTATTCCTCCATTCTTATCAAGGGTGGGTTGTACCTTCAATAAGACCAAAAATCATCATATTTTTTCTCACTAATTCTATCAATGTCCTTTTGGGCCTTCCCCTTGCCTTTTAGATGCTTCCATTTGAAACAAATCACACCTCTTAACTGGTGTTGTATTAGGTCTTCGCTGCACATGGCCAGCCCACCTAAGTCTATTTTCCCTCATCTTATCATCTATTGAAGCCACACCTAAGTTCCTTCGTATATATTTATTTTGAATTATATCCTTTCTTGTCTTGCCACTCATCTATCTTAACATTCTCATCTCAGCTACGCCTATCCTATGGATATGTTGTTTCTTGACCGCCCAACATTCCCTCTCATAAAGCATGACTGGTCTTATAGTCATCCTATAGAACTTCCCCTTCAGTCTCAATGGTATGCGGTAATCACATAAAGTTGTGGATGCACATCTCTACTTTGCCCAACTAACTCTAATTTTATGTGCGACATCTTCTCCGATCTCTCTATTCTCCTGGATTATCGACGCAAGATATCCGAAACAATCTCTTTTAGGTATTATTGATCATCAACCTTAACTGCTTCTTTATTTCTACTCCTATTGTTACTAGACTGGCATTCCATATATTCTATCTTAATCTGGTGAATTTTAAAACCTTTAGATTCTAGAGCACCCCTCCAACGTTCTAACTTTGCGTTGATGACGCCTGCAGTCTCATCGATTAAAACTATGTCATCCGTGAACAATATACACCGCGGTAACTCATCTTGTAGGTGCCTGGTTAACTCCTCTATAACAAAAACAAAGATATATGGGCTTAGTGCTGACCCTTGATGTAGGTCCATTGTCCTTGAGAACTCACTCCTCTCCACTTGTTGTCCGTACACTAGTTACACTCCCTCATATATATCTCTCAATATGTCAATTTAGCCTCTAATGACTCCTTTCTTTTTTAACACCCACTAAATTAAATCTCTAGGTACCCTATTGTGTGCTTTCTCTAAATCAATAAAAGACATGTAGAGGTATTTTCCCTTTGCCCTAAACTTCTCAATCAGTTGCCTTAAGTAGGAAATGACTTTGATAGTTGACCTCCGTGGCATAAAATTGAACTGAATTTCTGATACACTCGCACTCCTTAATTGTTGCTTAACCACTCTCTCTCACAGCTTCATAGTGTGGCTTAAAAGTTTAATCCCTCGATAGTTCTTACAATTCTGCATGCATCAGTTGTTTTTGTAAATAGATACCACAATACTTTTTCTCAATTTGTTTGGCATTTTCTTTGTTCTCCCTACTTTGTTGAACAACTTGCTAAGCCAACATATATCAATCTCCCCCATACACTTCCAAATCTCTATCGAGATACCATATGATCCTAAAGCCTTTACTATCTTTATCTTTCTCAAAACTTCTTTCACTTTAGATATCCTAATCGTGCAAATGTAACTATAACCTCCACCCTCATTTATTTTAGGGGTTCCTCCTAACGTTGTATTCCCATAGTGTTTGTTATTTAACAATATTTGAAAATAAATTTTCTGCCTTTCGTTGACCTTGGCATCTTTTACCAGGATCCTCTGACCGTCACTCTTAATGCATCTAATGGGATCTAGATCCGTACACTTCATCTATCACATGTTTCCTAGTTTAACAATATCTTTTTCACCTTCTCTTATCCCTAGTTTATTGTATAGATTATTAATGCTTTAAGTTTTGATCATTTCTATTACATTACCAAGCTTTATAACATGATGTTTTCTTTGCTAATAGCTTTCTGAACCTCATCACTCCACCATTAGGTTCCTTTGTCAAATTTTCTTTTCCCTCTAGTTTCTCCTAAAACGTCTTTTGCCACTTTCTTAATACAATGACCATCTCATTCCATTTAACATTAACTTCGTGCTCAGAATTCGATTTTCTTTCTCTTACCAATTTATCCCTAAATAAATGTGTTATTTTTTAATTCCAAGAACTTATGTTACACGGTTAAAGTCTCTCTTGGGATAGCCTAGTCTTTGTATGATGGTCGATCTACCTTCTTTA